GCCCCGAATCCCCACCCCAGAGGCAGCCACTCCTCCTCATGCCCCTCTCCTTCTGTCTAAAGGCAGACCTGGGGAAAGAGGCATCACAGAGCCCCCCACCCACCCTCTGCAGGCGACTTGGCAAGGGGCTCAGCCTCTGACAGAGGGGTCCTGAACAGCCCCAGAGACCCACAGGAAAGATCCCCAGGAAAGGCGGCTGCCTGGGATTCTAGGGCCTCTCCCACCTCCCCTCCCTTCTGCCCTAGTCCCTGTCCAAGACCAGAGCAGTCACCCTGTCCCAACATTTATCCAGCGCACCACTGCCAACAGCCCTTCCTCATACACTGTCCCACACTCCCAGCCCAAGAGGCAGGAGAGCCATGGGGAGGCTGGGCTCCCATCTTACAGATGGTAAGGCTCACAGTGGAAAGGACACAGCAGTCTCTGCACAGTACTTGAGACGCTAAGATTCAGTTGGGGCCCAGGTGTGGAGTCTCAGGGGCCTGGGTCAGTGGGACCCATACAGGCAGAGAGCACAGGGTTGATGCCACCTGGCACCCACATGGTGACCAGACCTAGGCTAGCTCCATGGACCTGGCCTTGGGCAAGTCCCTTCTCCTCTCTGAGCCTCAGTTTCCTTAGTGCATCACACAGAAGGTACCCCAAATGATACCTGCTCCAGTGTTTGGTAAAGTATACTTTCCAGAGCCAAAAGTACAGAGCAGTGCCCTACTGAAGCTCCTGTCACACTGGGGAGAAACCTGAGAACTAGCAAGACCACCTCTGATGCAGAAGCTGGACAAGCCTGGCCATGCCCATGTCCACGGTCCAGATCTTTGGAGCTGGGCTTATCCCAGACAGACCTTTTTCCTCAACCTTCTTCCTTTCAGCTCCTTGCCATAGTGGTTCAAGGGCGTGCTCCATCATCTCTCCCTGCCTTGCCAAAGACCCAACCTTACCGACCTCGAGGAACTCACAGCCTGACAAAGCCACCAGATGCTCCCCCACAGGGCACACATCCTGTACACCCATTCTCATGACTGCTGTGGCTAAGGGGGACTGAGGCATACCCTGTGTATGCTCAGGAATGCAGAGATGAGCTGGAAGGGCCCTGCCCAGATGGCTTCACAGGCTAACAGAGGCTACCCTCCCACCCTAAACTAAACATGTCCATGGCAACAGCCCTCTGTGTATATGAGCCCTCCCCCAACATGGAGTTCTGGGATAGATGCTGCAAGGAGCCCTTGGACACCCTACATAGACCAACCCAGGAGACCCAGTTAACCTTCTCCTGATGCCCATCCAGTCCTAGCACGAAAGCTAAGGGAATGGCAGAGGCAGAGTCCCCCAAGGACTTCTACATGAAGCTTCTGGGTGTGGCCTAAGCCCATAAGCATGCCAGCACATTGTGTCTCTCAGCTCCAGGACCCTGTCCCTGCGATGCCCAGTTCACGCCATACCGTTCTAGGTGCTGGAACAAGCTTTCTGAGGGCCCCTCAAGACACCCCCCCCCCCCCAGTCGAAAGGCCTGACCTCCACACAGCACTGACAGAGGCTGTGAGTGAGTCGGCCTTTCCCTTGGCTGAGATGCCGCCTGGGCCACCCACCTCCCAGGTCAGACTCCAGGCCTTCCTTCCAGATGGGGCTGTATACCTCAGTGAAGAGACGCCCTGCCTCAGATTCTGGGGAAGTCATTGCGTTTAGGAAGGGCTGGGAGCCACAGTCCTGTAGGACTGACATCTGGGGCCCAAAACATCCTGGGCTGCTTTCCGACTCACCCTGAAAAACCCTGCCAGGTAAGGATGCTGGGAGCCAGGGAGGGTGGGACAGGTACCCAGGAAGTAGAGGGAAGAGTTGGTGAGCAGGGACCGCCTTCTGCCTAGGGCACCTGAAGAAGCTGGTTGGGGAGATGAGAGGGAGACACAGCAAGGTCCTATTCTGCCAGGATCCTTCCTGGCTGGGGCTGCCCAGGACTGCTGAAGCATGCTGTGGGACAGGATGGCAGAAAGGCCCTGTCCAGGAGAACCCGAGGGGACTCTTGTCCTGTAGCTCTGGGAGCCCAGCAGGCCCATGCCAGACCCCAAAACAGCCAGACTCTGGAGCCTATGGCTGCAGAACCCTCCCCTTCCTTTCTGCCATCCTGTCCCACAGCATGCTCCAGCAGGCCTGGGCAGTCCCAGGAAGGATTCTGGCAGAACAGAGAACTGTGGGGAAGCTCAGGGCCCTTAAGGCACCCTGAACTGGCTGGGCCTACCTGGCAGCGAGTAGGCAGTCCTGACCCTCCCCACCTCCCCAAGGGCTTCTTCATGAGGTGGGACATAAGGCAGAGGTTGCATCCACCCCTGCATCCAAGCTTATGGGGAGGAAGAGGAACAGGGCAGGGCCCATGGAAGTCTCCCTGGCTGCTCATGGAGAGTGGAGCTTTGGATGGAAAGGCAGGGCTAGTGGGCCTGCACCTCCCACTTATATGCAAACGCACTTCCTTCCCACTGAGCCTGGTGTCTTCAGGCCCTGACACACAGTGTCCTTGGTCCTCACCCTTTCTAGGCCCAGAATGAGCTGATCTGCTGTGATCTTGCCAGCATGTGCTTGTGGTGGTGGCTGATAAGATGACTAGGGCACAGGAAGGGAAAACAGCTGGTCACTGTCTAGACCCAGCAGGACCAGCTCATGGCCCAAGAACCACCTCTGTAGCAAGGCCCTGTCCATGACTACAGCACCTCTGGCCACTCTACAGCAAGGCCTGCTTGCCCCGTCAGTCACCGTAGGCAGGCCTCCACCCTGCCCTGCCTTGTCTCATGCACATTGTTGGGCCATTTCCTTTCTCACCTGCGGCCTCTCTACCTTGCCAGGCTGGGCAAGCAGCCCATCAGAGGCAGAGTAGGGCGCCAGCACCAAAGTCTGCCCAGGCTCCAAGAAGGTACCCAGTGAGCACAGCCTCCCTGCCTTGCTCCCATTCCTCTCCCAGGAGGGGTGCTCGTAGGTGCCCACCTCCATTCAGCACAGAATGAGGACCCAGCTGGTCACCTGCACATTTCTTTTTCATCTCAGTTGCACATAGCTCTGCCAGGAGTATTCATCTACCCACTTTACAAAGAGGCAAGATGGACTCGGGGGAAGTCACCTGATCTGCCCAAGGTCCCCTACTGGGAGCCCTGCCCATAGCTTCCCTGGGTGACAAGGGCTCTAGAGGCTGATGCCCCCATATACAGCCCTCTGCCATTCCCCTACCGTAGGTCAGGTCTCTCCCTGTTGGCCAAGGCTGGAGTGGAAGAAAAGGCCTGACTGCATGGCTTACTGCATCCCCCCTTCCTACCCCAACAGTGTCCAGGTCAGTCTCAAGATGGCTTTCCCTTCTAAGACCCTGTGATCCTTGGAAAATAGTCTTGGTCCCCTTGACAAGGTGGCACCAAAAGGACAAAAGGCCTTCACCCGGGCATTCCACCCTGCCCCCACTCCCATGGCCCAGGTCTGGGCTATTCCTACATCAACCCTAACAACCTGGACTCAGAGAGGATGGGTCACACAACCATGACAGAAGCAGGTCTTGCACCAGGGCCTGGGGTCCACCTACCTCCCCCTCCTCACCAGGGTAGAGTCTCACCCAGGGCATCCCTGGGCCAGGCTTACCTTGGACTGTGCACCACATGAACCATTCATGGGGTCTCCAGAAGCCCAAAAAGCAGATGCTGACCTCACTCCACTTTACAGGAGAGAAACTGAGGCCTGATCAGAGTGGGCAAGTGATGTGCCCAGCACCCTATCTTTGCCCTAGTGTAGCTCCCACACCCAAGTCCCCTGGGTCCATTTCCTTATCTGAAAAAGGAGGAAGAACTCTCGCCTCAGAGAATACTGGCAATGAGCACTACTAAAGAAGTACTATAAAGATAGGTTTTCAGGCAAAGGCATTTCCCAGGCCTCTGAGTTGGGGGTTTGGAGGGGTCTCCTTTGCAAGACCACATAGGATTCAGCTCTGGCCCCAGAACATGGCACCCTGGACAACTGGCGTGGGCCTACCTTCCCAGGTCCATACTTGCAGTGGCCTGCCTGCTGGGCCCCTCCCTCCCAGAGATCGAGGCTCTCAGCAGACCCAGGTACGTGCCACTCCCTGACCAGAAGCTCCAGACTCCTGGGGCAGAAGCGCCATTTGTCAGGCTGTGCTGCGAAGGTCTGTCACACGGTTGTCCCCTTGCCATGAGGGTGCTCCTTGAGGAGGGCTGGGTTTGGCTCAGCTCCAAGATTTGGAGCCCTAGAATTCCTGGACCAAAGCCCCAACACCCCAGCAGCTAAGCCCACAGGGAAGAGGAGGTCAGCGTGTCAAGGATAGTCCACCCTGGGCCCAAAGACCCTGGCAGAGTGGTTGTCCCCTTGGAGAAGAGATAAAGAAGACCCAAGAGTGGGTCATGAGGGCAGCTGCCTGTTCAAGGCCAATTCCCAAGAGCAGCACCCTGATGTTTACATCAGAACCACTGAGAAATGCCCTTGTCCTTACTTTGTCCAAGTATGAGCAGCACCCCTTAGCTTTCTCAAGGTTACAAGCTCATCCTACCCTCTGTGGCTATACCCTGCTTCCCACGGCCCAGCCCTGTACACACGGCAGATTTCTAGCCCATGACAGACCTCCAGGGACCAGAGGCCCTTAGGTCCCTCCTTCCCCTCCCCAACCTGGGCCTGCTGCACCCTCCGGGGCATGGGATCCTCACCCCTCCTGGAAGGGAGTGATGCCACAATTCCCAGGCCACAGGGTAGGGAGACCTGCTTTGGACTCCAAGCTCCAAGGTGCAGTAGGGAGACCACTGGCCTCCCCTCTAGACCACAGTGCACCCTCTGCCAGATATGTGCCTCTACCCAGCATGGCCTCACTCCTGTCCCTCCTCTCTCCCCTCATAGTTATTAGATAATCCAGTTTCAGAAGCCTCACCTGGTGTCCAAGTCCTTCCAGAAACTCCCCTTGCACTATACCCTGGCAAGAGAACTGGACTCCCTCCAGCTGCTCCC